AATTTATACAAGGCAATATGAACAGGAGTAGGGTAGCTGATGACCTGCTGGACCAATGGCTTCTTGAACAAAGAGCAGACGCTCTCATCATCAGTGAACCCTATAGAACAAAGGAAACCTGGCATGTTGACCAATCAGGCTCGGCCGCGATATGGATTGCTAACCCCAACCATCGCGCAGAGACAGCGGGGTCGGACGCTGCTACGTCTGGGTGAAAATGGCGCAAATCACTCTGGTGAGCTGCTACCTGTCTCCAAACGACACAGTCCTTGTCTTCAGGGAAAAGCTCGAAGACCTTGAAGACGAATTGCGCGATATAACCGGCCACATAATTGTTGCTGGAGATTTCAACGCAAGAGGCGTGGAATGGGGTATGCCCCAAACAAACACCAGGGGAAGACTGGTCCTTGAAATGGCAGCCCGCATTGGCCTAACCATCCTCAACACCGGAACGACCCCTACATATCGAAGAGCCGGGTTTTGGATACTCTATCCCTGACATAACCCTGGTCTCAGGAAAGCCTTCTTCGAAGGTCTGACGGATGGAGAGTGATGGAAGACCTGAGTGGTAGCGACCACAACTACATCACCTTCCAAGTCACTGACATAACGCGAGGGCAAACACGTAGTATCCCTCGCAGGAAACCAGGATGGAACCCGTCTAGGGTCGATGTTCGCAAGTTCGATACGTCACTCCTAGCAGATTCCCAAGGTATTTCACCCCAACGGGAGAGATCCACAACAGGTAGTCTTGTACTAAGCTGGTCGAAGAAACTATGCGCTGCATTCACCGGGCATGCAAAGCCTCAATGCCACAGAGGAGAGCATGGTCAGGTAAAAAGCAGGTATACTGGTGGAATGACCGAATTGCTGAGCTGCGAAGGGCCTGCCATAGAATGCGGAGACCCGCAACGCGCGCTCGTGGTAGACCTGAGGCGCTGACCAGAGCACAGCCTACAAAAGCGCTAAGAAAGCACTCTGGGGCGAGATACAGAAGAGTAAACGGAACTGCATGAAAGCGCTATGTGACGAAGTGGATCGCGATCCCTGGGGCCAGGGAACAAAATAGTGATGAAAAAGGTTCCATACATCATCGCAAGCGATGGATGAGCCCGAGTTAAGAATATAGTGGATGCGCTATTTCCCACACACCCACTAAGAGCCGACACAGTGTTCGTCGAGGACCAAGCCGAGGCACCCTCTTTTCGACAGACGAGCTGTAGCTAGCCCTGCGAAGCATGAAAGCCGGCAAGGCTCCAGGCCCAGATGGCATACCAGCGGAGGCAATCAGCTTAGGGCCCGGGTTTTCCCAAGCCAATGGAAGAAGGCGAGACTGGTGCTTATACCCAAGGGCAAAGGGGACCCAAACTCTCCTTCATCCTTCCGGCCACTCTGCATGCTAGACACAGCAGGCAAAATGATGGAGAGTCTGCTCAAAATACGCTTGGCGTCAGCCATAGAAAGCGAGGGAGGCCTTTCACCCCGACAACATGGCTTCAGGAAGGGACACTCAACTATAGGAGCAATTGGCGAAGTAGTCGAGGCGGTACATAAGGCCGAAGAACCTGCCACCAGGCGCGGCCAATAGTGCTACTATCACACTGGACGTCAAGAACTTCTTCAACTCGGCATGATGGGACGACATGCTGGAGGTCTTGGAACGTTCATTCAAGGTTCCAACATACTTGCTAGATATGATCCGGGACTACTTCAGAGACCGTTGGCTTTTGTACGACACAACACAAGGTCAGAGAAAGAGATGTATAACCGGCGGAGGGCACAGGGGTCTGTACTTGGCCCGGACCTCTGGAACGCCACGTACGAAGTCTGTTGCGCACGGAAATGCCGGAGAGCGCCTTCCTTGTCACCTTGGCGGACGATGTGGCCGCCGTCATAACAGCAAGAAATGTCCAGCTAGCATCAGCTCAAGCTAAACCAGGTCATGCGCAACGTCAGTGGATGGATGAGCGATCACGGTCTGCAATTGGCTACAGCCAAAACGGAGATCGTGCTCCTCACCAGGAAACGGATCCCAACAATTATAAATATAATGGTCGGACCTCAACTCGTGACGACTTCTAGGTCTACAAAATACCTAGGGGTGAAGCTTGACAGCAAACTCACATTCTGGAAACACAATCCATGGAGTATGTGAAAAGCTGCGCAGAGCACGGCGGCCTGAGCCGGCTGATGGCGAACGTGGGCGGCCCGAAGCCATGCCGCAGGAAGCTTCTGATGACAGCGGTCCAATCGGTGCTCCTGTACGGGGCAGAAATATGGACTGACGCATTGAAAGTCAAAAAATACCGGATTCAAATGTCTTCGGTACAGCGCAGAGGGGCACTACGCATTGCTTCTGCATACCGTACAGTGTCCGCGGACGCGGTTCTAGTTATTTCTGGCGTCATGCCAATTGAGCTACTTGCTTACGAGCGAAAAGAGATTTACAATCCTCAGTACCGAGATAGGTCGAGCAGCTGCCGCGGCAAGGGCGCGCGAGCAACTGATCCAGCAGTGGCAACAAAACTGGAACGCGAGCACAAAAGGTCGATGGACGCACTCCCTGATAGCCGACCTTCAAACATGGCTGAACAGACCACATGGGGAAGTCGATTTCTACCTGACGCAATTCCTCACCGGTCATGGTTACTTCCGAGAATATCTTCATAGAATGGGAAGGGTGGACTCACCGTTCTGTCACTACTGTGGAAACGTCGAAGATAACGTGTACCACACATTCTTCACCTGCGAACACTTCTTGATTTCGCGCAGAGTGTTGGAAGAAAGACAGGAGACATAACTCCGAGACAACATAGTTGGGGTAATGATCTCCAGCGCAGAAAAGTGGGAAGCGCAGTTGCGAGATACGTGAAATTCGTACTCCGCTGCAAACGAGAGGACGTTGTCTACTGAGGACACCCGAATGAAACGCCTCTACAAAAGAGCAGCCCCAAGGCTCTAACAGCGCGCTCCTGCATCTGAAGACATGCAGAATTGCGGTGCCAGATGCGGGATTTTTGCGCGGGCGATGGGAGTTTGGGTTTTAGTGGGTAGCCCAACACGCTTCGGTGGGAGTCCCACACTCGGGGAAGGTAGTATAGAGACTAGCGCCCCCGGCCAGTGCATAAAGCATTTCCCTCTCCTACGAAAAAAAAAAAAAATAAAAAAAATAAAAAAGGGGAATAAATAATTTTTTTTTTATTAAGATTCGTTAAAAGGTTTCCAATATACAGCACTTTAAAGAAAGGTATGTGTGACGTTTTCTTAAAATTTAAGCCCCGTGTAAATAGGCAACCCTACGTCATATCGGCAAAATATGCTGCACGTATNCACCTAGACCTTCAATCTCTTCAACTTTCATCCAAATCCTGAGAGGTCGCGCACAGAGGTGGCCGCGGTGACATGAAATGCCTCATTTGAAAAACTTTTACAAAAAGTACATAAATTTTACAACAAAAGATTGTTTATTTTGTTATGAAAAAACAAGTAAATAGTGTTGCCGAACTGAAATGTTAAAATGCTGAATGGCGTAAAGTGCTACCACTTTATTTATATTTCGGAATAATTCAGTTTTACTTATATGACGTCTGCAATTTTGAGTACTTTTCGATTTTGTCATTAGCAATTTTATACACACTTAAATTTTATGTAAGTATATCTTACAGATTTAAAAGACAATCTCATAGATATATACATATGTATCAGGGATGTTGCAAATATTTGTATTCGCATTCATTATGCGAATGATTCGCATCATTTTACGAATTTAGGCACTAAACGGTTAAGTAGAATATGAAGCAACATTGATGAGCCTTCAACAAGTACTGCTAAAAGTTTTATAAGCAACCTAGAAATAATTTGAAAAGTCTCCAGCGAAAGCGAAGGCTCGGATGTAGAATCTGGAGACATTAAAAAATGTTAAATTAAAGCTTATTTGAAAGCCTATCTTAAAGAAAGACGAGCTCATATCGGTGCAAATCGCATTAGCGAATGTGAAAAAATGACATTCGAAACATCCCTAATATGTATGTATATATATTAATTTGTATAGATATATGAATGTACGTATGTGTATGAAATTTTCTTTTAAATCGGTAAGATGCATACTAACTTGAGGTATGTATAAAATTGTTAATGATCAAAACGAAAAGTGCTCAACCTTATAAACATATATCGTCGTTTAAAGTACAAAACCGTGTATCGTTGTTCTGCAAAACCGTTTAACTAAAATTTTTTGCGAAAAATTGGATTTGCTCACCGAAGCTCTTGGCTCAAGCCTCATCCGTTCCTGCTGAAATATACTAGACAGAAAAGCGATTCCTTTATAAAAGAGAGAACAATTTCGAAATATGCGTGTTTTTACTCTCTACAAAATAATTATTGCAACCTCACGTACGCGGTTTTGCGTTATCTTACTTACTGATTTAAAAGAAAACCTCATATATGAACATATGTATATCATCAAAAGCAAGAATAATGAACAAAGCATCAAATTTATACGAGGGACGCGCGGCGGTGATCGCTGTTTAGCTCAAATACGTTATGTATCGCCGCCTCAGAAAACGGATGTCGAATGTGATTTTGGATTTTGATGCAGATTCACTAAGTTGGACAAACCCTTTTTATTTCTGCAATCCATTTTTTTATATCCCCCTTAGTTTTTGAGATATTTCGCGTGCATTTTGTCGTATGTTACATATTATTAATGATTGGGTATGCCTTTGTGTTCGGCGCCTAAGAAAGTTTGTACACAATTTTAATGATGTATGCACATTGAAATATATCGTTTGAAAGAACTACTACTTGTATAAATAACGCTGTTTTACGATATGAAAATTACATTTTTAAAGGATTTGTTTACCTAATTTGGGGCACTGAATAGGAATATACTTCCCAAACTACAATCAGTTGGTACGCCTCACAGTGGTAGGAGAAGCTATATTTTCCGCGAAAAATTAGAAGGGACGATTATAATAAAAATGAATCGTCGTAGTATTTTTGTTATGCTAAATCTGAATATGCCTTACAATTTTTAGTTTGACAGTTGACAGCTGTCAAATCAACTGCTAATTTCTCTAAAAATAAGAAAATATTTTTGAAAATACCACTTATTAGGTTTTTAGGTACGATAGTCACGAATTTTATGTCAAATTAAAAGTTTGACAGTCGACAGCTGTCTAAAGGACTGCCAATTTTTATAAAAATCAGAGAATCTTCTTAAAAATTTTACTAATAAGGTTTTTAAACGTGCTTATCACGAGTTTTACGTCAAATTAAATCTTTGAGAGTTGACAGTTGCCAAATTGACTGTTAATTTTTATGATAATAAGGAAATGTTTTTTAAATGCTACTGGTAAGGGTTTTAGACACGCTAGTCACGAATTTTACGTGAAATTAAAACCTTCAGATTTGTCAGCTGTCGAATGGGCTGGCAATTTCTCTAAAAATAAGGAAAATTAACCAAGAATTAAACGTACTACGTTTTAAGGCTCACTGCTCTCGAGCTCTATATTACATTCAAACTTTTTCAGTTGAAATCTGTCAAATCAACTGCCATTTTTAGTTGAGTAACACAATATATTTGTTAAGCAAAATTACTGATTTATTGTATTTGATCGAACATATTTAAAATGAATTTATGATCAAATTATGAATTAATTACAATAATTATATTTATAAATGGGGGATAGTTGCGGCCGCCTGCTATATGTTCAGCCCAAACAATTTTTTAAGAACCTTTTTTTATTTTATACTAAATTAGTGATTTCCAAAACTATCACTATAGAATAAGAAGAATAACAGATGTGTCCAGTAAGGAAGGGCGTAATATTCGTTAATGATAACTTCCGATAACAGCTTTCGGAGTTGCCATGAATGCAAACCTCTAAATAGCATATTTAAAAAAAAATTCAACAATTTATTAAACCTCGGACGCTATATTGGATTTTGAATTTTGAGTTTTCTAAAACTAGTTTGAAATTTGTAATAAGCGAACTTATAATAATAATAATAGATTGGCGCTTACACATATGTTAGTGTTTGGCCGAGCTTCTCCTCCGATTTGTGGCGTGCGCCTTGATGTTATCACACAAAGTGGAGGGACCTACAGTTTTACGCTGACTCCGAACGGCGATTGTATTTTTATGAGAAGCTGGTTTTCATGGCAGAAATAAACTCTGAGGTTTGCCATTGCCTGCCGAGGGACGACCGCTGTTAAGATAAAACCTTTTTTCTACATTTTTTTGCGATGTTGCTTTGACCAGGGTTTGAACCCAGGCGTTGGAAGCGCGTACTGCTGGCCACTACACCACAGCGGCCGATAAGCGAACTTAAGAACCTCAGGTTTGTCAAGACACATATTATAAATAATATGATGCTAAATATAGAAAAATTACATTAATCCGTAGTGTTTTATATAATTTATGTTATTTGGAACAACTACTAAAGTTGGTCTAGTGTAATAAAAGTGGCCGCCACTCTTTTTGGCGCGAGTATGCGCGGCTTTTCTTTTCGTAGATCCTTAAGGGACCCCTTGCATTACTTTTTGGTAAAGGAAAGAAGATCCTACTCTGCTCTACTCATTAGTTATACCGTTTTGAAGAAAATATTTCTTGAAGAAAAAGCCGCGTTTTTAATAAAAATGACCGCGACTCTTTTTGGCGCGAGTATGCGCGGCTATTCTTTTCATACATTCTTAATGGACCCCTTGCATTACTTTTTAGTAAAGGAATGAAGATCCTACTCGGCCCTATAAATTAGTTATACCTTTTTGAAAAAATATTTCTTGAACAATAATCCGCGTTATTAAGATAAATTTGGCAACAAAGTTTTATTATGTAATATTCCATATGAAATCATCATTTTTCATCTTTAAGAAGTAACACTAAACCAGCTATTACTGTTATAATTTAAAGTGTTCATAAAAAAATTGTTAAGAAAGCTATCAATTCATAACTGTTAGAACAAGCCACGATCGAATTCGTTGAATTAAATAGATTCAGCAAGCACATAATATTAAAAATACTAACCAGCTTTGAGGTCGCTGGACATTTCTGAATAAGAATGGCCTTACTCCAGTTAATTTATCACAGTTTAAAAATATACATTTTTCGCGTAAAACATGCCTTTTTCGACCACTGTGCGCCTGAACTTTTTTTAGTATTTGCTATTGAAACTTTTAGATATAGATATTAATTAGTCAAAGTTTTTGATACAAAGTTTGTTAATTTCCTAAAGCTTAAAATGTGGTTTCTTATAATCAAAAGAAATTACATAAACAACAACGTAAATAGCAAGACCTTTCAATACTCTTATAAAATACATTTCAATTCAATAAGTAGTACCTTAAAAAAGGTACTGTTTAACACATTGTGACGTCGCCGTTTGTCTTAATAGCATATTTCATCCCTTTTCCCATGGGAAACTAAGTTTAGTGAAAATGACGAGAGATCTCTTTTTAAGATGCTACAAATGGAATTGTACTGCATTTTATAAGAGTATTGGAAGGTCTCTTTATTTACGTTTTTGTTTTTGTACTTTTTTTATTTTCCTGTTGATTAAAAAAAAACACATTTTAAGCTTTGCAAATAAACAAACTTTGTATCAAAATCTTTGATTACACAGGCCAACAAAATTGAAAACTGTTAAAACTGCTTTTGATAAACCTTTTTGTGCTGATTAAACCGTGCGGCAGTCAATTTTACACACAAAAAAATTAATATATTCGCGAAACTATAGGTAAATTATAGTAAAAAAATAATTTTTTGAAATAATCATATCTTTAAAATTTCAAAGTCCTTTTAAAAATCCTGACACCAGAGGGCAACACTAAAAACGCAGTTTTTTTTGTGTTTTGAAATTTTTTTGTTTTTGTCGCATGGTGTAACGAATCCGTAAGTATAAAGTTTCAATTGGTTCCAGATTTTAGGAAAAACGAGGTCAAAATATCAAAAAACGGCGTTTTTTTTAGATGCCCTAGCAAAGAAACAAAACTATCACCTTCCACTTAGGCTTAAATTAAAACCAGAACTCTCGACCATTATCTCTGAAAATAGCGTCGCTGTACCTCGATCTGATGGTCACTTATAGTTATTTATTAAACGGCTAAACTGATTCTAGCGAAGTTTGAGTACCTACCGCAATAAAGCAAAAGGTGAGAGAGCCTTCCCACTTAGACTTAAATTAAGGCTTGAACTTTCGAATAAAATCCCTGAAAATACCATCCCTGCACCTTGGCCCTATGGTCACATAGAGTCCTTTATTGAACAGCAAAAACTGATTTTGGCAAAATTTGTCTTCCTTCAATAGCATAATACTCCAGTATATTGTTATTGTTCAATACATGACTATAAGTGACCATTGGGTCAAGGTGGAGGGATTGAATTTTCAGAGATAATAAAAGAAAGTTCTGGCTTTAATTTAACCCTTAGTGGAAGGTTGTATCAGCTTTTGTTTTTTGCTAGAGCTTCTCAAATATTGCAAAAAAAAACGTTTTTTTGACACTTTGACCACGTTTTTCTCACAATGTGGAGCCGATCGATACTTTATAAATATATAGGTCAAATGACTTCAATAAATAAATAACTAAAATAAAATAAAAATTAAACCGAAAACGAAAGAACAAGTTGGGTTCAAATTACGCTGGGCAAGTTGTGAATTTGGGCAACGATTTTGAAAGTCTAGCTCACTTAATTGGGGCGTTCTAAATTCAATGGCAACCCAGATTGACTGCGGTTTTCGAGATAACGGTACTTGAAAATCTGATTAAGTCCTTAACTATTTTACAAATAACTCCCTCAGTTCGGAAGTTATGTTACTAAAATTTTGCACATGACCGTTTTTTATTTTTACCTAACTATTCCATAAAATCATCGAAATCTGTTCGCTATAACATGTAGCTTCCACTGTCGTTGTAGCCGAGTACTGTCGCTGACCTCGGTATCCGCATCAAAGCGAGATTCTTCAACATCTCGCTCATCTGCGCCCATGCCCCGACGGAAGAGAAAGATAAGGTACCCAAGGATCTCTTCTATGAGCGCTTGGAGCGCACGTACGAGCGCTGCGCCCGCCACGATATTAAAATCGTGCTTGGCGACTTCAACGCCAGGGTGGGCAAGAAAGGGATCCTTGGAACCACCGTCGCAAAATTCAGCCTCCACGACGAAACGTCCGACAACGGACTGCGGCTGATCGACTTCGCTGGGGCCCGAAACATGGTAGTATGCAGAATTAGGTTCAAGCATAAAAAGATTCATCAAGATACGTGGCTGTCTCTGGATAGAAAAATGAGAAACCAAATCGATCATGTTGTGATCGGCGGAAGGCATGCTTTCAGTGGTTTGGACGTACGTACACTCCGAGGCCCAAACATCGACTCAGACTACTATTTTGTGGCAGCCAAGATACGCACCCACCTCTGTGGCGTAAAAAATGTGCGCCCAAATATGCAAGGAAAGCTTAACGCCGAAAAGCTGCAATCACAACAGACAGCCAATTCATTCGCTGCTCGACTCTCAAACCTGCTCTTAGACAGACCTCTTCAACAAACTGGCATATGTGAGCTGTGCAACTTCTTTGCCCGCTCATTAAGTACCCCTCCGAAGAAGTTGTCGGATTTCAGCGAGCCCGAAAGAACAACTGGTGCGATGAGGAGTGTTAGGAAGCTGCAGAGAAAAAAGATGCCGCCTACAGGGCCACGCTGCAATTGAGCCCAACGCGCGCTATGTGGGACCGCTATAGGCAGCTGTAGAGCGAAGCGAGACGTATTTGCCGCAATAAGAAGAGCGAGGCCGAAGTACGTGAGTGCAAAGGGCTTGATATGCTGGCCGACAGGAAGAATGCCCGAAAATTTTACCAGAGAGGTAGGCGACTTACGGAAGTTTTAAAGACCGGGGCGTACTCCTGTAAGAACAATACTGGCGACCTAGTAACTAATGTCCAAAGCGTACTTAAGTTATGGAGGGAACACTTTTCCCCCTACTAAATCATAGCAGCACGGAAAGTTGGGAGAATAAGAACCCGAGCCCCTAGTCAATGATGACGTAGTCGATCTTCCTCCGCCTGACTATGACGAGGTACGAATAGCAATAACGCGGCTGAAAAACAGCAAAGCTGCTGGAGCTGACAGCCTGCCAGCTGAGCTATTCAAGTACGGTGGCGGGGAGTTGATAAGGTGCATGCATCAACCCTTATGCAGAATATGGTTACATGAACGCATGCCCGACGACTGGAATTTAAGTGTGCTCTGCCCAATCCACAAAAATGGCGACCCCGCCATTTGCGCCAACTACCGCCGGATCAACCTTCTAAGCATAGGTTACAAGGTTATCGAGCGTATTGTGTGAAATACTGAACTGATTGGGCCTTATCAGTGTTTCTTTATGCCTGGAAAATCTACCATAGACCAGGTATTCACAATAAACCAAATCTTAGAAAAGACCAGTGAGAAAAGGATCGACAGTCGCCACCTATTTGTCGACTTTAAAGCTACTTTCAACAGCACTAAAAGGAGATGGCTATATGCCGTTATGTCTGAATTTGGCATACCCGCCAAACTGATGCGGCTGTGTAAAATGACGTTGAGCAATACTTACCATCAGCTCCGTCAGAATTGGGAAATAACTCTCCGAGCCGTTCGAGACCTAACGGGGTTTCAGACAGGGCGACTCCCTTTGATGTGACTTCTTTAATCTGGTGTTGGAGAAGATAATAAGAGCTGCAATACTGAACCGCTCAGGAACAATTTACTACAAGAGCGTGAAATTGTTGTCTTATGCCGAAGTTCTGCCTTTTCCAAGTTGGCCAAGGAAGCAAAGCGAATGGGTCTGGTGGTAAATGAGGACAAGACGAAGTATCTCCTGTCATGAAACAATCAGTCAGCACATTCGCGCCTTGGCACCCACGTCATTGTTGACAGTTCGAAAAAGTAGAGAATTTTATTTATTTGGGATTCCAACGCAGAATCACTCTTGCCAACAAGTGCTACTTTGGACTGAGTAGGCAATTCAGGAGTAAAGTCCTCTCTCGACGTACGAAAACCACACTCTATAAGTCACTCATCATGCCGTGCTGGTATATGGCGCAGAAGCAGGACAACATCCGATGAGGCGCTTCTTGGAGTATTCGAGAGAGAAATTTTGAGGAAGATTTATGCGCCTTACGCGTTGGCGACGGTGAGTACCGCAGACGATAGAACGATGAGCTGTATGAGGTTTACAACAACATGGATATAGTGCAGCGAATTAAAATACAACGGCTCCGATGGCTTGGCCATGTCATTCGAATGGACACCGACCCTCCAGCTCTGAAAGTATTCAACTCGGAACCCGCTGGTGGTAGCAAAGGAAATTGGTGAAAATTAGTATTATTTTTCATTACAGTCGGTTATCCTTAGAAATATTTGGCGCTTAATATTTTAGTGGAAATTTTAATTATCTATAAGCCCTTTTTAACAGTGGGTCAAAAGGGCCCATTCTGGTGGAAGTTGATGGGTTATGCTGTTGTAAAAAGTAGACCACCCTTGTTTTCAATCTACAACCCGCAAAAAATCGTAAGAACTCCGTAGTTTAACATAACGGTAGATAAGATTATTACGAAAATTTATTAATGGCGACAGAAATTACTCCAGTAACTTATCTTTATCAATTTTTTTATTTCTTTAAATTTAAATAGTAATACGGATTACTTGTGTATGTATGTACATACCTCAGACCTTCTTCTGTTCGCCCATCCATCAGCGCCAGGCACTCAACCTTTTTAATTCAAGTTGGAAGTAACAATACTTAAATATTCAACTAATTGAAGAATGAATTAAATAGAATGATCATCTGAATTGCCATGGCCAATATATAATACAGACGAGATGACATGATAAGATTAGTTGCCTTATGGCTCATGGAATCTGCCTTATGGTCGCCGCTGCCGCCGATTCTTTTTGAAGTTGACCACGCCGCCGTCGCAAAGACTGTTGGCGTGTTTTTTTTTTAATCATAAAACATTTATCGTATGTGGCACACACGACAAATTCTCATACAAATGTAATCTTTTTTATAATCATAAGACATTTGGCGTATGTATCCCGATACTTTGAACTTACGACAATTCGATAGTCCTCTGCTTGAACGAAACAATTAAAATTGGAAAGTAAAAAAATAACTACTTTTTATTTTTTATTTTAGCTTGCACTCATGATTCAATAATGAAAGGGTTTGTATGTAGCCTTTTTCTAAAAATTTACACTCCCAACCACAGGGATGGTTTTTGGAAGCAGGAGAAAAAGGGGAAGAATTCAATCACTTTTTCTAAAACGGTAGCTAAATTCCACAAAAAGGTGGGGATAATAGTGATTTAATTATTTAATTTAAACGAGCTTATTTACATCGAATATAACCCCTGATTGTTATTAAAAATAAACATTTATATGTATATACCAAAGTTGCGTATGTCTGCTGGCGCATAGCTCGAGAAGGGATGGTCCAGTTTGAGCTATTTTTTTGGTGTGTTTGTTTGCCTAGTAAATTTTTGCGGTACCATTTACAGTTGATGCATGTACAAGAATATCGAGGGCTTATATTCAAAAACAACTTTGTGATGTTAGAACCCATCTGAGTCTTGCCGGTCATCATGATGTTAATTCTGACTTTGCAATTTAAAAGTAAATTCTTCTGTCAAGCGTGATACAAGGTCAATTAAGTCTTAGGTGGATTTTTATATCAGAATCTCATTTTTGTGAAAAATGCAGACAGAGGGTATTGAATATAAGCCCTCGATATTCTTGTGTATATGTGTGTATGAAATTACTAATGGCGTTTTCTTTTCTCGAAAAATATGTTACCGTCTTATATGAAAACATTATCGGAATGCAATATTTTAAAGAGAGAGCACGCAATATGCATGTGAAGATCCTGAGAAAAGAAAACGAAAACCTGGCGCAGGGCAGAATAAATGCAACATTATTTCGAGAGAAGAAAACGCTTTCAGATAAAAGTGTACTTTACAAAAAAACGTGGCAACCCTCATGCGGCGTTCGAGCATTTTTATAAAGATTTCAGCGGTGGAAAATAAGCATTGTATGCCTTTGTTTTAAACTTACAAGTAAGTAAAAATAGCGTTAAAATTTTTTATAAAATTATGTATATTTAATGTGTCTTTTATTGTGCAGGTCCAGCCCAGTTTTTGTGATCAGCATTTCGTTCGTACAAATATGTATGCATAAATCTATGATTTTTAAAAATGGAATTTTTTAATTAAGACGCTTACTGCATCTTGTGAATACCCTAAATACATACATTTTAACTTACTGAGTACAAATAAACGCAATAAAATAAAAAAACACAATTAAAAATCCTAAATGTGTTTTATTGAGACTTTAACAAACAGTCGCATGGCAGTAGAAATAGTGGTGAAATGCCGTCATTATAACCGATTATGGAAATAAAGCTCGTAAAACGAAGACCAATAAGCCTATAAAATGACGATTGTTATAACCGTATAATGGCTATCATTTCAACAGTAAAATAATGGTCATTATGCCCGTAAAATGACGGTAATTATGGTCGTAAAATGACGGTCGTTATAACCGCAAAGTGATGATCATTATAACGTAAAAATGGCGGTCTTATGCAGATAAAATGACGGTCATAAAACAAGTAAATTCCTTAAGAAAAAATTTGGTCATTTGACTAGTAAAAACCAGAGTAACAGTGACGGGTGCAAGCAGTGCAGCTATACATTTAGCTAAGCGCACAAGACATGGAGAGCGAGATGTAAAGTCACACGTACGGGAACATAAAGAAAGAAACGATCACACAATGTACCGATGCCCTTAAGAATGTTATGGGAAAAATACGGAAAGTTTCAGTCATGTCTCCAGGTCATTTTACTAATCATTTGGCCAGTATCTTTCTTGCAGGGTAGGTATCTACGAATGTCAACAAATACAACAACATATTCGGCATTTAAGGTGTGGTTACTCGCATTAGAAGTTAATGAGTTTTCTCTTATACGTACATGAAATGCTTTCTATGTTCTTATTTAGTTAACTTCAATGCACCGTCGCTATGCTTTTAATTTTCAGTCGTTCATTCTCCTGCACCTTGTCGGTACACTTTACTTACGCTTCTATACACTCAATAAAGCTATATATATTTTAACATTGAATTTCACACAAAGGAACGCGTGTTTCAATTATTACAATTGGCGACGTCGATTTTTGGAAGTGTACCGCGGTTCGATTTCAAGGAAAATATGTGGAATGTTTTCCAGAGTCAACTCGACCAATTTTTCATCGCATTGAAGATGAGAAGCAAAAAAAAGCAATTTTTCTGAATGCTCTGTCGGAAAAGGCCTACGTGCTTTTAAAAAAATATTATGAATCCACTAAGCCTTGATGGTGTGGCAGTTACATATAGCCAGTGCATTGTAGCTATGTCGTCTCATTTTAAGCCAGCCGCGTCAGAATTTGCAGAGCGATTTAAGTTTTATCAGTCTAATAAAAAGTCAACGGAATCAATACACGACTGGGCGGCAAGAGTTCGATCACTAGCGGTAGGATGTTCTTTTGCAATCATCTGGAAATGGCGATTCGCGGCAAATTTATCATGGGGTTGGAGGCTGGTCCAGCCAAAGACAAAATATTCCTAGAAAAGGAAAATACCTTAACTTTGGAAAAAGCAATAAGCATCGCTAACGCAACAGATTATATTTGGCAGCAGTACGAGGTGAAACTGGAAACGTCAGTCGAAGGTCAAGCGGAGAAGTGAAGACTCGAAAAAACAGCGCAAAGCGGACGGTGACAATGCAAAGCAGAGCAGTGCCCAGCGTCAACAGCAACGGAGGCGGCAGAACTAGGAGTATCAATGCAGAGTGTGTGGGAGCGCGGACCACAGCGCTAGTGTTTGTAAATTTAAAAATTATAACTGTTATACATGTTAGCGAAGAGGGCATATTAGGAGAATGTGCAAAGAAGGCAGAATTAATTTTATGACAGAATCGGATTTAATATTTCATGTAATAAGCAGGGTCCGATTTGTTTTGATGTGCTTTTAAATAATATTCGCTTAAATATGCAGTTGGACACTGGGTCGGAATACAGTGCGATTTCTTTGGCTACTTTTCGTAAATATTTTAAAACCGCAGACCTTAAAAAGACGAATATAATTTTTAAAGCGTATAATGGTACTCGAATTAAGCCTAATGGTGTATGTGACATGCTAGTGAAATTTAATGGCTCGTGTAAGTTGCTATCGGTTGTGGTAATAGAGAACGGTGGTCCGCCCTTGTTAGGAAGAAATTTTGTGAACCAATTCGGCATTAGTATTCAAAACGTTAACTTTTTATCAAAGCAAAATAATATTGCGGACAATGTGTTTAAAAAGTTTCACTCTTTGTTTGACGGTACACTAGGGTGTTTCAAAAAGCAACAAGTTGAGCTTGCATTAGAAAAAGGTACAACTCCCAAGTTTTTTAAACCTCGCCTCATCCCCCTAGCAATCAGAGACAAAGTTGACAAGGAAATTACAAAGCTTGTTAAGCTTGATGTATTAGAACCGGTGGAATATTGCGAATGGGGCACCCCAATAGTGCCAGTTTTAAAAAAGACAGGCGATGTAAGAATTTGTGGCGACTTTAAGGTCACCCTCAATCCTCACCTTAAGGTCGAAAAGTATCCTCTACCCCGCATCGAGGATTTGTTTTCGAAATTGTATGGAGGGGAAGAATTCACAAAGCTTGACTTGTCTATGGCGTATCAGCAAATAGAATTGAAACCATCTTCGAGACCGTTGACAACAATTTCTACGTGCAAGGGCTTATACCAATATAAGCGATTAATATATGGACTTGCATCGGCACCAGCGTTGTTTCAAAGAATTATGGATACTCTCTTGTCAGGGCTAGAAGGTATAGTTGTCTTCTTACCGCCCCCTGTAGAAAGGTTCTCGTACAACGGCTAGAAAAGGTGTTAACTATTTTGCAGGAGTCAGGGTTTAAATTGGCAAAAGAAAGGTGTTAATTTTTAAACTCTTCATTGTGCTACCTGGGCCACATTATTGACCAAAAGGGATTACATACGAATCCTGAAAAGGTTAAAGCAATTGAAGGTATGGGCAACCCGTCAAACGTTAAGGAAACTCAAGCGTTTTTGGGAGTAGTAAATTTTTATAGGAAATTCATCCCTAACANGAAGCAATTGAAAGTATGGGCAATCCGTCAATCGTTAAGGAAACTCAAGCGTTTTTGGGAGTAGTAAATTTTTATAGGAAATTCATCCCTAACATGTCAACTATTGCTAGTCCGTTATATGATTTGCTAAAAAATAACAAAAAATNTCATCCCCCTAGCAATCAGAGACAAAGTTGACAAGGAAATTACAAAGCTTGTTAAGCTTGATGTATTAGAACCGGTGGAATATTGCGAATGGGGCACCCCAATAGTGCCAGTTTTAAAAAAGACAGGCGATGTAAGAATTTGTGGCGACTTTAAGGTCACCCTCAATCCTCACCTTAAGGTCGAAAAGTATCCTCTACCCCGCATCGAGGATTTGTTTTCGAAATTGTATGGAGGGGAAGAATTCACAAAGCTTGACTTGTCTATGGCGTATCAGCAAATAGAATTGAAACCATCTTCGAGACCGTTGACAACAATTTCTACGTGCAAGGGCTTATACCAATATAAGCGATTAATATATGGACTTGCATNGGTATGGAGGGGAAGAATTTACAAAGCTTCACTTGTCTATGGCTTATCAGCAAATAGAATTGAAACCATCTTCGAGACCGTTGACAACAATTTCTACGTGCAAGGGCTTATACCAATATAAGCGATTAATATATGGACTTGCATCGGCACCAGCGTTGTTTCAAAGAATTATGGATACTCTCTTGTCAGGGCTAGAAGGTGTAGTTGTCTTCTTAGACGACATCTTGATTACCGCCCCCTGTAGAAAGGTTCACGTACAACGGCTAGAAAAGGTGTTAACTATTTTGCAGGAGTCGGGGTTTAAACTGGCAAAAGAAAAGTGTTCATTTTTAAACTCTTCATTGTNTGCTAGTCCGTTATATGATTTGCTAAAAAATAACAAAAAATTTGTTTGGACACCAGAATGCTCCAACGCTATTAGTAGTCTAAAGGAAGCCTTAAAATCAGACAGGTTTCTGGGTCATTTTAGTTCGAATTGAAGGACAAGACTTACTGTCGACGCAAGCCCTATCGGATTAGGCGTGGTTTTGTCGCAAATTGACCCTAGTGGAAATGAACGGCCGATTGAGTACGCGTCTAGGAAGTTGTCAAACAATGAATAAAGGTATTCGCAGTTGGACAAAGAAGCAGCAGCAATCCTGTTTGGAGTGAAAAAGTTTCACCACTATTTGTATGGTAGATCTTTTGATCTAGTGACTGATAACAAACCTCTACACTACATTTTAGGTCCTAAAAAGGGTATTCCACAGACTGCTGCCAATAGGTTACAAAGAATAGCCCTGACACTATCAGCATACGATTTCACTATAAATCATGTTAAATCTGAGGCAGATGTTGCTGATTTATTTTCAAGGTTTCCCAGTGAAGACGTTTGTGAAAATTTTATGCTGCAAGAAATCCAAAATGGCGTTTACATGAATTATGTTTCTGAACGAAATATTCCACTTTTAGACTTTAACGTCATCTAAAAGGAAACAATGTCGGATCCAGTCTTGAAAAAGGTTAAAGAACACAATAAATGCAGTGAAGTAGAATTAAAACCATATTTTTTGCGTAGGTTTGAACTTTCTGAGGAAAACGGGTGTTTGTATTGGGGTTACAGGATTATAGTTCCTAACTCGCTACAAAATGGCATGGTGAAGTATTTGCACAGTTCCCACATGGGTATAAGCAAAACCAAGTCAATAGCCAGAGGGTGTTGTTGGTGGCCATGTCAAACTGTCGACATTGAAAACGAGATTAAAGCATGCCCTAGTTGCCTCATGACACGTCCAAATCCGCCTAAGCAAAAGTTGATACCTTGGCACTGGCCACAAACGCCTTGGGATAGAATACATATTGATTCTTTTGGACCGATGATGAGTCGTTGGTGTTTGGTAGTGGTAGATAGCAAGTGGGTTGAATGTGTAGATATGGGCACTAACACAACTAGTAGCAATACAATAGCAAAACTACGAGAAATTTTTGCTCGCTTTGGTCTACCACGAATGGTTGTTTCGGACNGCCTAAGCAAAAGTTGATACCTTGGCACTGGCCACAAACGCCTTGGGATAGAATACATATTGATTCTTTTGGACCGATGATGAGTCGTTGGTGTTTGGTAGTGGTAGATAGCAAGTGGGTTGAATGTGTAGATATGGGCACTAACACAACTAGTAGCAATACAATAGCAAAACTACGAGAAATTTTTGCTCGCTTTGGTCTACCACGAATGGTTGTTTCGGACAATGGCACAGCGTTTGTGTCCAAAGAGTTTCAAGATTTTTTAGCGAATAACGGCATAAAGCACGTCACAACACCTGTAGGCTACCCGGCTACAAACGGCCAGGCGGAAAACATGGTAAAAAGTATAAAAAATTTATTAAAGAGAATTTTGTTCAGGAAAAGTTGCTTACAATTCAGCGAAGCATTAACCCGATATCTTTTCGACTACCGCAATACAAAGCACATCACAAAAGGTTTGTCTCCTGCAGAATTGAAGTTTGGTAGGCAGTTACGAAATAGATTCGACTTAGGAAATCCAAAGAAAAATACTTGTAATATAGAGTTAAAACACGAAGATGGAAATGTTAAGAAAAATCAAAATGGTCAAAAATTCTATTATAAGGGGAAAAAGAATTATGTTTTTGAAGTCAACGAATTAGTTTTAACGAAGGATTACTCAGTTCCCGGGCGTGTTTCTTGGATGAGGGGGAAAATAATACGAAAAATTGGCAGACAAACGTGTTCCAGATAGAGGCGAAAAATAAAATTTCGAAAAGGCATTCGAATCAAATGCTCAATATCGCCGATGGAAATAAAATAGATTCTAATGGAAGGGGCTATTTCCCAACTACATTAAAAAATACAGAAAAGCTGCAACTAACAAATGACCATGAAATAGCCGATGAGTCTAAAATTGTAGAGGACAATGCTAATAGAAATAGGCAAAATGAAAATCTAAAATTAACGAAAACCATGAAGCTTTTAGAAAACATAAGTATAATCTAAGAAGTACAACTATTTAATAAGCAATGAATTACACACTTGTAAAGATTGAACGACTAAAAACAAAGAGGGGGGATAGTTGTGGTAACTCGCATTAGAAGTTAATGAGAGTTTTCTCTTATACATACATGAAATGCTTTCTATGTACTTATTTAGTTAACTTCATTGCATCGTCGCTATGCTTTAAGTTTTCAGTCGTTCATTCTCCTGCGCCTTGTCGGTACACTTTACTTACGCTTCTATACACTCAATAAAGCTATATATATTTTAACATTGAATTTCACACAAAAGAACGCGTGTTTCAATTATTATATAAGGAAATTTCGTCTCTTTATCCTACATTGAATTGCTGTAGCCCAACGAATCTCACACAGTTGGTCTGGTTGTCGCCAGCGAATGTAGAACAAACATTTCTTCAAATTTAAAAAGTAAAAATTTCACTACTAAAAAAGCAAAAATGTTCCTTAAACTTCCAAGGAAATTTGGAAAAGTAATATCACTGTTTTTGTTTTTAATGGTAGGGTGGGAGCATGATACAAAAAAGAAGGTAGTTTCAATAAACAACATTTGACAAATAATAAAATTTTTTTAAGTTTCATTAATTGTGAGTATGTATTATCAAAAGCCTTGCCGCTTTGATAATATTAAAACAATAAATCGGAGTATTTTCCTTCCCATATTTATACCAATGTAATAATATTTCACTCGCACTATTTTTCTTAAAAATATATAAAATATAGACTATTAAAGAAGACTTCATCCTAAATAGTATTTTTTTTTATAATAAAACCACGCTCGCATTATGCTTTTATGGTTTCGTTTTCTTATTTTGAATTCGATCTTGCGATTTAAAAATCTAATTCTAAAGAATGTTCTTTCCAAATAAAACCTTTTTATATTTTGAATCAAATTTACTTTTAAAATTCTCATCAGATTTTGCAAAAAATTTGGCTTTTTGATTAGCGTATCACCATTCACTTTCACAAATTTTGAATTCTTATATATCGACCCCTTTGCGCAAAATTATCGTATGTTACATTTTTTACGAAATTCACTTTTTGATGCAACTTGGGTTTACAACCCATAACGCATCACCTGTTAAACTATTACGGCTTAAATCCCAATAGCTACCCCAAAAATTTACTGTAAATTTTATTGTATGTGACAATGATTTTTTCTTGTGGCCGAAATTATCATATGTGCTAAGAAATTAGAACGTAGAGACCTTACTACAAAACAAATCGTATGCTTAGTTATATTTTTGGATTATCTCAGCAAATCTAAACTTTGGTGTTGATGGTGCTAGCCAAAGCAGAGAAAAATACAAAAAACACTTTCCTGTAAAATTTGGTTTTTGTAACATACGATAATTTTGCGCAAAGGGGTCGACATCGTCGTGAGGTTGCATAAATTATTTTCTAGAGAGTAAAAATACTCGTATTTCAAAATCGTTCACAATTTACGAATCAATCGCATTTCTGTTTAGTATAAGTATTATAAAGATCTGATTATGTATTCTTCGCATAATTTCGCACAACTTCTTAAACGTAACACAACTTTTCAAAACTTAAGGCTGATTATGCTTCGCATGCAACCAAATTTATCAGTACTACCAACCTTAAGCATCGACGCAATAGGGTTATTCACGGCGTCTGAACAAAAACACTTTTTGATTTTTGGTTTCTTCAGTTAAATGGATTTGTTTACAGAAAAATTAATTTAAGTCGTTTTAATGGGGTATATTTGTAGTCCAAATTAAGTCGACACTAAAGTTCTTTGCAGTTTGACATAATTTTCAATGCAATATCTGTAAAATATGTAAATAAAATACGTATGTTTTTCTTAAAAAAATACGTTGTAGTTAATTACGTATTAAATAATATATTTACTAGAAAGAGCATAAAAATACCTTTTATTTGGTATATAATTTTATAAAGTTAGGTTTGAGGACAACTGCCAACAGCGAAATAAAACAACTGTATTGATATTATATTTTATTAATTTATTACATATAAAATGATATTTGAATAAAAAATTAAAATTTTGAAAAAAAAGTTAATATTTAGTGATATTACCGAAGATTGTGCTGTTTCTTATTTTGTGCATATCTTTTAATATACTTTTTTTAAGAAAAACAAATTTTTATTGCCATAATTTATATATACATATATGTTATATATACATATGAAATCAAAGGACGTTTAATTACCTTTCCAACCCTATCCATTATTTGCGAATTGGTTCAAAACTTTTCAAAATATAAGCTTTTGAAAATATTGAAAGCTCCACGTTTACCCTCCCTAGCACCGCTCCTATGAATTTGCACCAAAATGATATGTAATTATTTTATTGAAATCAGAGAAAAGCGGCGGGCCATGCTCACTTTTTAGTTTTTTAGCTCAACGGACCCTATTTTTTACTTGTTCCCAAAATTACATGGATAGAGTCGTGAATCCCCCTAATATGCTTTCCATGCATCTCTGTAAAAAATAATGCTATTGGTACCACTGCAATTGAAATGTCACTTAAGAAAACGTGAGGCAAAATCTAAACTCAACAGATGGCTAATTTTTTACAAGTTCTGCTAATTTCTGGGTAATGGAATACACACAAAATGCATTCAATAGATTTTAACCTGACCGTTTATGCGAAGTTATACGAAGTGTGCATAATCAGACCATAAGGCTTGAGCCAAGAGCTTGTGTGAGCAAATTAAATTTTTGGCAAAAAATATCAGTTACGCGGTTTTGCAGAACGACGATACGCGGTTTTGTACTTTAAACGACGATATGTATGTATCATTTTGATCACTTCCTTCATGCATTCTGAAACCTAGTCGTCAACCTCATTTTCGAAATTATGTAGCCGGCATAATTTTCAAGTGCATCATATTCCACACCTTTGAATGTACTGATAAAATCCTCTGCTTAAAAAAATATTTCTTCTAGTCATCAGGTAGCATGAATTTGATGAAATGTCATAATTTTATTAAAACTCAAATGGTTAACAGCAACAACGAATGTCATTAAATGGAACTACCTTCTTTGTTATATCACGGGTGGGAGTGTCTTTGATAAAATTAGAGTGAGAGAAAGTTTTTCTTACAAAACCTTTCATTATTGAATCATGGCTTGCACTGAGTCTCTAATGCAGGGGTTCCCAAACTTTTTTCCCCTTGGCACCCTTGCTGTGCTAAAAAAATTTCGCGGCACCCCTACTCTTCAAATGTCTACGAAAACGAGAAAACACATTGCAAATTTTATGCTCCTTTAGCTTTGATGTAAGGACTGAATATGTTTATTTCCGACCAACAATTGTTTATTTTAAAACCAAAAATTGTTTATTTTAAAACCAACAAAACCAACAACCACATGATCAAGTGAATTGCAGCGGAATAGCTGCGCTTGATTGTAGTTGGCTTAGCAAAGTGAAATAGTGGAAATAAGCAACAAGAATTAACAAGGCAAAGTTAACACAGTGCGTAGGCAACTGGCTGAGTCAGTGGTGATCGTCGGTTCGAATCCTACCGAAAGAAGCCTGATGGGGAAATGTGGTGATTTCCGAAATAGCTATCACTTCTACCATTTTTTCAAATTATTGTTGCTTTTCCACAATAAAGTTTTCACTAAAAACGGCCTCAAGCTCATAAAAATTGTTGAATATAATTGATATAAGGCCATAAAATAACAAACACAAATTTTTCAAAATTTTCTAATACTTCGCTACACCATCGAAAGCGAAATTCTGTTCGACAGAAAATTCGATACTCAACGAAAATTTCGACACGGTTGCATAGCTCGTAATACGAATTCCACTTTCGATAACCAGCGAAGATCGAAAATAAATGCAACTCATAATAAGGGCCTAAAAGTCACTAGTATTGTTAATGCAATCTTGCCAACAGCAATGTTTTCTGCATCCACTTGCATCCAGAACTCTCTTGGCTCCCTTCGTAGTAATATTAAATACGTAGTAATATTAAAGCGCTGTCTTCACTGATGTCCAGAAGGTTTTCAAAAGCTTAATTTTTCACTCAGTAGGTATACTTTTCGGGTTACATGAAAACGGGTTTGTTATCCAGTTGAAGAAATCCTCAGATTCAATGTTGGGAAAATATTCTACAATGCTTTTTTCTAAACCTTCCAAGTTGACGCTGGTAATGCGCGTTAAAGCTATGAAAATAATTTTTACAGCCAATTTCACGAAAGCAATTTAAGTGAAAAATGATTTTAATTTTTTGAATTTTATATGTAAACTAGCAGACCCGGTGAACTTTGTCCCGCACAAACTTAATTTTTTGTATTGAAATATTTTGCTTCATGATTTTCAGTGACGCATTTATCTTCTAATATTACGGTTTGGTGCTTGTCAGAAGGCATATTTCCATTGCTATCTTAAATAACCTAGCAGAAGTGTATATGCATACAAAGATACGTAATAGCTTTAGTGCGTTTCAGGCGCCACGCCCCTTATAAAATAGCCGCAATTTTCTCTAAAAGTATGGGATTGATTTCATAAATGTCCATACCATGTTCGAGTACTCTACCATGAACACTTCCAGAGATATGCACTGTAAAAAATTTAGTTTGTATGGGAGGTGCTCCGCCCCTTTTTCCAATAGCCCCAATTTTTCTTCGTGACTATGCGATTTATTTTATGTCTTGTACATACCAAGTTCCAGTACTCTACCATGAACACTTGCAGAGATATAAAGTATGAAAATTTTGGTTTGTATGGAAGGTTCCACGCCCCCATTTCCAATAACGGCAATTTTGCCCATGAATATGCGATAGTTTTCATATATCTCCATACCATGTTCGAGTAAATACTCTACCATGAAAACTTTCAGAGATATGCAGTATGAAAAATTCGGTTTGTATGGGAGTTTCCACGCCCCTTTTCCAATAACGCAATTTTTCTCCATGAGTATGGGATTTTTCATATATCTCCATACCATGTTCGAGTACTCTACCATGAACACTTCCAGGGATATGCAGTGTGAAAAATTCGGTTGTACGGGAGGTGCCACGCCCCCTGCACCTAGCGGTATGAAATATACTTTACATCCAATTCTCATACCTAACATATATGCACATAAAATTTCATAAATATCGGTCAAGCCGTTTAGGAGGAGTTCGACCACTAACTCCGTGACACGAGATTTTCATATATTAAATAAGAAACAGCTGTTCGTAAACGACGGTTTCCGACTGAATTTCAGTTTTTTTGCAAAATTATACATACATATGTATATTTTCCTGTCATAAATATAACGGTGGTCCTCCACAATAACAACAAAATTTAAAAAATAAAAACTCGTACTATTGTTAAGTGACTCATGTCTTTAATCATTGTCTTATTCATGTATAATCTTTACTACCTACTTTAGTTAGGATTAGACATGGGTTAGCCAAGGATTATAGACATGAGCCTCTTAACAGTAATAAGGGATTTGATTTTTTGAATTTTTAGTTGTGTCGTTATTGCAGAGGATCATCGATATGTGAATTCATATATTTCGATAATGAAATAAATTCCAGCATAAATACGATTTTTATTTGCATATTTATACATATGTCACTCAATTTCAGCGCCACCTGGCGGCAAATTTTTTTCGAAAGGATTCATTTTCCTGTTATCAATACATATTTTGAATCTGAGGAAAATGAGACCATAAACACGATTTTTAGTAATAATTCGACTCCAACGCCACCTGGCGGCTCTTTTTTTGCAATGGTATTGTTTTTCCTATTGTCAATACATATCTCAAATATGGGGGGAATCGGCCCATAAATATGGGGTTTACTAATAACTCGACTCCAGCGCCACCGAGCGGTTGTTTTAATAGTTATTCTGCTATTCGGAAGGTAGACAAATTCAAGAAACAAATATCATAAAGATCGGTCCAGCCGTTCTTGAGTTATAAATGGTGTAACTAACACGACTTTGTTTTATATATATAGATTGCCAGAAAATAAAAAAATAATTTTCCATTTGAATTGCTGGTGCAATCAGCTTTTATCCATTTTCTTAGCCTTCACTTCGAAGTTACATACGTGTTTCTGATTTACTTTGTTTATTTATAGGGTTTCCATGCAAATTGCCAGAAATTCTAAATTATACATGTCACCAATAAACAAAATCTCGACGTGCCAGAAAAAACCAGAGGTGTTTTTTAATTTCGCAGGCCTCTGTTATCTTCGCAGCGTCATTCAATACGGGTTTTAAATCTAGTGGCGTCATCTTCCTAGTCGCCAGGGAATACCGACGGATCGTACAGTGACTTCTCGTGGCGTTTTCTGCCCCTTGCTTCATCCTAGATATCGCTCCTTTCGTTTTTCCAACCACTGAATATATCCGGACCATTGTTTTGTACAAATTTGTCGATAGCTTTAAAAATTTCGTTGGTAGTGGTGTAAGTCTCAAGTACTTCGCTCATCAAAAGTTCTTCTTCGATTTGCATTGCGAATGGGTACCTCACTAATATGAGAAGACTGTCTCTAAAATCGTCTTGATTCGCTCCTTCACAATGTGATTGTGAAGTCCAAAGAAAAGGTAATATAAACACGTGCGCGAAGCTGCTGCGCTTGTTACGAGAACAGAAGAAAAGCGGATGAAAATCGGATTAGGTCTACTAAAGTACCGGCTATTTTTCTGAAAATTTTCTGATTCCATTTTACAAACAAAACGTACTGGGGAACTACGCTTAAGAGCGAAATATGTGTATGGGGTTTGACGAGCCGCTGAAGGTAACTTTAATTAAAATCTAAATATTTTGATTTTCTGGCCGCCATGTTGAAGTCTGATCAAACCGGTTGCGTTGTGTATGGAAAGTTTAAAGAATTTGCCCGCACCACTAGTATACTCTAGCCACTAGCGGCACCCTAGGGTGTCGCGTCACCCACTTTGGGAAAGCCTGCTCTAATGAAACGAAAGAAATGAAAATGTATAAAAGACTGAATTTAAGTATTGTTTTTTGTTTTTATAAAAATGAAAATGTATATTCGTAATATATTAACAGCATAAAAGATGTACAGAATTTTGTATTAAATACATGTATATGTTTTTGTTATGTTTTTTCTAATAAGCTACCATCGTCCTTAAAAAAGATGCTTTAGTATTGTCGTATGTTCTATGGACAAAACGAGGTGGTGAGTAAACGCTACTTACGACAAATGTATACGGAATGAAGTCCATTTTCTCATTAACGTTTAGAGATAATAAATTCAAAAATTACAAAAATCTATCGTACAGTTTCGGATTAACTCGACCTTAAACTTCAAAGTCAATTTTCTCAATACCGTGTTTTGTAATATTCGACATCCGTTTTCTGAGGCAGCGGTATGTATGTATGTATGTTAGGGTACTCATCGAAAATTTCTTTTTTTTTCAAGACGCTAAGGTCATTTAGAGGTCGCGACCTGTCGATTTAGGTCAGAAAATACGATTTTGTAGATTTATGAGTTTTAGAATGACTATTTTTGATTCGATTTCAAAGAACAAACATGATCTGAGAAGAGGATTTATAGGCCTTTAAAATGGTAAACAATAAACTATTGTCGGACTTGGCTTGTTGGATTTTTATCGGGTAAAATAAAAAAAAAAATATTTCACTTAATTTTAAAAATTTTGACCATCGATCTAAAATTAAATCTATTTTTAAATAAACTGATAGCTCATTTATTGCAATCGCATAAAAATTGTTGAAGTTAGGCGTTTTTTCTTAAATACGGCGTTGAATTTATATTGTTTCTTAACCGGACTTTCAGATTT